GTCTATCTGTCTATCAACTATCTATCTATCTATCTATCTATCTATCTATCTGTCTGTCTGTCTGTCCTTCTATCTGTCTATCTGTCTATCTGTCTATCTGTCTATCTGTCTATCTATCTGTCTATCTATCTATCTGTCTGTCTATCTGTCCATCCATCCATCCTGCATCCTCTGTCTCTCTCTCCTCATCTCTCAGGATCTTTCTGGGTATTCTGGGCTTTGGCCTCTCCATCATGTTCTGCACCACCTTCTGTCGAGCGTGCAGTCGCCTGCGCCAGGAGGAGATAGAGCGAGAGGTGATGAGACGCAGTGAGCAAGACGGTCGCCGACCTCCTATATATTTCATCCCCTTCCCACGCACCCTATCACAGGCAGACATCGAGGAGGCCAGCGTTCCCCGTTACAGCCAGGAGAACTTCACACCTCCACAGTACAACACCTCCTATTGTGGACCCCCGCCTTCCTATAACGAGGTGATACTTCCATAACCCTGCCATTATTCGTCACATCAGCGCACAAACTAAAATCTGACTTTTTTGTTTGTTTGTGACTTTCAGCTGGGATGTAAACCCGACGATCTTCCTCCCGCGTACACAGAACACAACATCCCCGTTTATCCAGCGGCGGCAACAGCAGACGCCACCGCGGCACCGCATCAGTCTGAGACGCACTGAGCCTGTTCTGGACGTAAACACTTCATCGTCTTCATCATTATTGCACTGAATCACCAAGTTTACCAGGAGTTTACAACGTTTTACAGGGAAACTTTTACTCTCTGTACTCTTTTATTTTATGAACCGCTACATTGGCACACGCTGCTGCCGAGAAGTGACACAAAAAAAAACAAAAACAAAAAAAACAGCAGCGTCAACAGTAAGTTATACATAAGGACCGGAGTGTGTTTTTGCAGAGTACCAGTGACAGACCATCTGTAGGCGCTCTTTTATCCAAAGCAGCTCCTTCGTCTTAACTAAAAAATGTAAACTTTCATTCTCTCCACCAAAGTTTTGAAAAGTAGAAAAATCAACAAAATATATTTAGATGATTTTTTTTTATTCCACTCCAGCAACAAACCATGAAATATCGGCCTCATCTTAATAGGAAGTACTCAACAAAGGGCCCGCAACCCCTATGGTGTCCGCAGAAATACGGCTCAGATGATTGAAAAAACTGTTTATTTTTTTTATTCTCTCCAGAAACATTGGACCAAACTACTGATAAAATGACAAAATGGCTTAAGATAAAGTATTGATGATATGTTTAGATGATGTTTTTTATGTCACTCCAAGTATCCAACAAACCAGGGAACTAGTTATCAACACGAGGTCTGTGTGGGTTCTACTAGTCGGTCTGCAGTAATATATAGTTTTCAATATTGTTTGCACATGTTTAAATAATAAAAAAATATATATACACATATAAGGAATATATATATACATATAAAGAAATATATAACTCGGTGTATTGTTTGTATAACTTTATACTCAATGCAATATAACAAGGTACCTTTATACATATATATATTTACATATATATATACATATATACATATACATATATATATATATTTACATATATATATATATTTATATATATATATGGTAGGGGATCTTTGGGGGTCGCTGAACGCCCCTGATTTTAACACATTAACACATTTGTTGTAAAACTGTAATTCAAAGCCATATATATATATACAGTATGTACATATTCAGATTGTGAAATATAAATTGTAAATACAAAGCTGCCTCTCAGCCTTGATCCTTCTTAATAAAAACAAAATAATTCTTTTTTTTAAGGTGTTATTTATTTGTTGGAATTCAATATTTTAACATTACAATGTTGGTTTACTCCACATCAATGCTCAGGCTTTCGGAGTTAATAAAAAATCAAATTGCTGATATCGACACACAACATCCTTGTTGTTCTCATTCCAGCCACTAGGCTTCAGGTCATAGTCTGTTCTGTGAATTTTATGTGATCAAATCCAAAGTTTAACAATCATCGAGTTTGTCTGTGATGTTACCTATTGTGTGAATATTGTACCACTGCTGGCCAGCAGGGGGCTGACTGCAGGTCACTGGCCTCTGATACATCCATTTGAGATTCTTCTTTATTGATAAGCTTCATGTCAACAAAATGCACAATACATCTACCCAGAAGTACATATAAAGTTATCATTAATCAAAAGAAAATTATTTTTAAAAATACTAACAAATTTATGCTAAACAAGTAGTAATTACCACAGGTAAATATGTAGGTTATTACCATAACCTATGGTATATTAACCATTGGTTAAAATATATTAATATTTAATTAATATATTTTATAAATTATTTTAAAATGAATTAAAAAAATATTTTTAATTTATTGAAATAACTTGATTTTTTTAAATAACTAAACAATATAAATATATATATTTTATAAAATATATTAAACTACCTATAAAAATAGATAGGTATAACTTACCAAACATAGTAGGTTATCAAATGACATATCCACACACAGAGTCACTGTATTAGCTACGACAGTACATATATGTAATAAATATATGTAGTAAAACGAACTGCTCTCCTGTGGAGCTCATCGTAAAAACACTCGGGCATAAATGTCGCAGATGAAGTTACACATCAGTTTACGTCTTCAGTAAATCTGTCAGGAGGTTTCTGGTATATATCAACACCGTGCTAACACTTAGCTGCGCATGTAGCTATTTCTTAAGAGTTAGCGGATGTCGTCTTTTAAATCTTTAAAAATAAAACACAGAAGTGTAACGTGGGCCTCATATGGGGTTCTTGGGCTGCCTAGTGCACACTGAACATGAGAAATAAATGTGCGGGCCACATGTGGCTAAAAGTTGCCCTTTGCCCACTTAGGGGCAACTTTTGTAGACCCTGCATGCAATCTGTTGCCATTTACTTTTTGATCTCACTTTGCAACCATCAATTCAACAACAGAGGTCATGTTTATAAATGTGTCAACAGACGGAACTAAATCATTTCAGCTTTTTAGAACGTAGACTGCAATATCGATAATGGCCAGGGGGGAAGTGTTGAAGTGTTCAAAAAGATGTAGTGTGTTTTTGTGTGTGTTTGTGTGTGTTTCTACTGTGAGTGTGTATGTGTGCATTTTCCTGATATACTTACACTTCTGGGGACAGTAGTATTAAGATACCTTTGAGTAGATACTTAGTCCTTGTGGGGACATATATTTACATCTTCACTAAATCAGAGGCTTAGGTTAGAGTTAGATTAAGGTAAAAAAATATAAATATGGATGTAATAATTAGTGTCAGGATAACAGACATTACATATGTCTGACATGCTCACGAAACCCAAATGTGTGTGTCTATGTGTTTCTGGTATAGCTATACTTGTGGGGACCTTGTCATAAAAGTTAAATTGTGGGGACACTTTGTCCAGTATTGAGTTTGGATTAGAATCAGGGTCAGATTAAGAGATTAGATTAAGGATAAGGATTAGGCATATACAGTATTTTTAATAATTAAGGTTTTAAAGGAGCGGTTATCAACTGCATGATGTCTATGTGAAGTGTTAACAACATGTGTGTGTGTGTGTGTGTTATGTGATGAATGTGTGAGCACAGTGGTCTCAGTTACCAGTTTGACCCAGCTCTCTACACCGTGCTCTCATTTCATTTCTTGTCTTTGATATAAATACACCAGGCAGCGCCCCCTGTCTGTCACCCAGTAACGACGCCCCCAGTGAGTCTTTCACCCAGCTCCTATCGCTGTCTGTGCCTCATCACTGCCACCTCTGTGACTCAACAATTACCCCTGCACGATGACAATTTATTTATAAAGTCTCTGAGACTTTATAAAAAAAAATTGCAACAGAAATAGAAAACTTTAATTACAAATCAACAACTTTTTATGCATGTTCCCATATATACGTCATACTTTCAGTATAATTTTACCCACATTAGTCAGATATTGGCTGTACTATCATAAGCAGTACAAGCATGACTACAGTACACTAATATATATACACTATATATATATATATATATATATTTATATATATATCGGTTTTATTGTCTACTAGTAGTGTAAAAATAATTTAAAAAACATTTAGAACACATCATACAAGTGTGATATGTTACAATGAGTGATAAACGTTAAAACTCTGTCTGTCCACTGGCACCGTGTCTGTTCTACCTTGTGTGTTTGGCATTATTAGGACAGAGTGGTAACCATAGAGGTAACCTTGAGGGGGTGTTTGTTGATTTACAAAAATCCCCTGTGTGTGTGTGTGTGGTCAGTACATGTAGAGTGCGTGTCTATTTAAAGATAGTGATCTTGTCTGACCAGCTGTGTCTCCTGCAGTCTTTCAGATAAGCTGACTACATGTCTGCCTGGGTACTGCAGTTTAGTTATCATCATCAGCCCAAATGTCGTGTAAAGAAACTAAAAAAAGAAAATCAGTGGTCACCAACATTTATAACACTATTTGAAAGTGCCACCGCAAGGTATCTGGGCAGAAAAATTCTGGTCGCTTTGACCAGAAGTATACATGGAAACCCTTCCATTTGATAGAATTCTGGGGCTCGTCTTTCACGCTGTTACCCTTTGCTTTGCCACGTCTACGGACGAGGTTAGTGTTCCTTAAAATATTCCACTGGATTTGTTGAAAATCAAAAAATCACGCGGTAACCAGTCCCAAAGGTACAAGGAAGATTTACGTTTACTGCACTGTAGGTTCTTTATCTCCTTTGAGGTGTAAATACCGAGTCGATTCCGTTTGGTAAAGAAAACAAATGTGGATTTTGTCTTTGAGGCAGTTGTTGAAAAACAGGTTAAAAAACCTGATTTAACAACAACAAAAATGTCGCCCGGCCCACTGCTCACCAAAGGTAAAATATAAAAACTTCATCAAAGTCATTAGAGATGTGTCTCAACATGTGCAAATTATTCAAATTATTTCCAGACACATTGCAATAACAACTGTTGGACTTCGAAATAATTTTTCTTAAGAGGAGGAGAAGAGAAAACAGTTCCGTCATATGTGTATTAGTATTAATAATACAGAAAGTGCCGGACACATGGTAGAAATGTAATGACACGGGGGGGGGGGGAGAACAAGTCCAGGAACATATTACCATGTGTGCACTTTCTAAATGAAAAGGGAGAAAGTGAGAAAGAGGGGGGCGTGGCACACTCAGACCTGGTACTTACATAACAGCCCAACATACAGCAAACATTGGATGAACCAACTGTAATGAGTGTGTGATGCATGTGCACATGCAGACCCACGCCATATGCACAGACCCACCCCACCCACTCCCTCCAGCCCCATTAAGAACACACCCCTTTTCCTCTCATCCCACATCTCTCATAGGTTCCCTGCAAAGGTAACAGAGACACAGGGGGGGCTTTATAAACATCGGTTCTGCTCACTCGCTCTCTCTGCTCCACTCGTTCTCTCAGCCTTGGTCGTCAGAAGAAGCCAGCAGAAAACACCAACATGCCCAGCAACAGGAAGAAGAACAAGCGCCGCTTGAAGAGGATGGTGAGTAGAACTTTTCATTATTAGTTTATTATAAGTTAATTATATTATGATGTGAAGGCAACTAAAGTTTTTTTTTTTTAATTTGGGTAAATTATACTTCAAAACTGAGGTTATTGAAGGATAAACATAATAAAGAAAAAACATTTTCCTTATGAGAAAAAACTGTATTTACAGGCGAAATGAAAATAAAGTTCCTACAGGTGAAGAGCAAACAGTTGCTGAAAAGTTGCACGGGTGTTTAGTACGGAATAAATGAGAAGACGAAAAAGTACTTACTGTACAAATACAATTAAGAGAATTTTCGGGTTTTAACAAAACAAACAATGAACCAAAACTTTCAAAAATAAGCAGAAATCACAGAATGAGTTCCTCTTCACTGTTGAATTCCAGAGTGTAAATCTGCTGAAGAAGTGACGCCAAACACACTGTGGATTCCTGTCCCACTCTGTCTCACTTCTGTTGGTACCGTGTGCCTCTGAACATTCAATGTCCGGAGAGAGAGAGAGAGAGAGAGAGAGAGAGAGAGGGGTGGGTGTGGCAGAGAGGGGAGAGAGTCGGGGACAGTCTGTAATGATAGAAAAAAAGTTAACACACGGGCGTCACGTTCTCAACGGACGGCAGTCATTATTTCCACTCACAGTGATCACTTTTAACATGCACTGTATACAGATTACTCCCCCCTGCCTCCCTCGTTCTCCCATTCCCCAACACTAACTTTCTAATCCATTCTTTACATCCAGAAAGAATTTGAGTCTCTGGCATTCTCCCCCCCCCCGCCGCCTCACCCCTCTCCCTCAGCGACAGCCTGTCCGGCCAGATTCTCTACACCACACAACTGTATTTGGTAATGTGTGGACTGGAGGAATGCCTTGGAGGGAGTTGGGGAGTGGGGGGGGGGGTGCGGACGGGAACGGTGGGGGGGTGATTGTCTTAGTTGTTGCTGGAGACACTTGAGATAAAACTGCCTCCTTTGAGTCACTTATGATGGGACGTTATCAGTTCCAGTTCCTCCTTCCTCAGATATGGGAGAACAGGAATAGAAAGGTCCTGAATGTGTCAGGAAGAGAACTAATTTTGAGCCACATACGACCTCGTATGATTATCAACATAAGGTCCGTGGTCTTCATAGCTAGTTCATTAACAACAAAATTCAAACACAGTTTTGTAGTAGTGAGGTATCCCAACACCTCTTACGCCCCGCCCCCACTTCAGAGTGATGATTAGCTGTTCAGCCATCTCACACTGTCTCCCCCTATTTGGGAAGTGCTTGTTTCATCATTAGAACCTGGTCGTGATGTGACGTGTTAGGCCAGTGTCTGGCCTGCAGGGCGTCCATCAGTGATGACTTTTCCCCTTCCTGCGTCAGCAGATCTGTCAGAAAGGCTTTGATTCAAACAGTTTGCTTATATAAGTAGCTTTGTTGAGCCAGACTCCCACTCCTACTCCCACTCCCAGTCCCGGTGCCTGCACCCCACCCTGCAGCACTTTCTACTCCTAAAACAAAACTGTCAATGCCCAGTGGGGTTTATTCAGGGCTGAAAAACATGTTCGACCTGGCCGGAATGGCATGCTGAGAATTTCTGCGTACTGAATGTGTTACATAGAAGCACAAATTGAAGTGAATTATTTGTCACTGTGACCCAATACAAAACCAAATGTGAGCTCTGCTTTTACCGCATCACCAAAGTCAGCATGGGGCATCTTAAGTGCACAGGGAGCAGTGTGTGGAGACGGTGCCATACTAAGAACACTTCACTTGGCAGCTGGTGGACTAGAACCTGAAACCTTCTGGTTCCATGTCTGGTAACTTAACCACTAAGCCTCTCGGTGGCGATCTGAGCCGAAAAACATTCACTTTCCACATTTGACCCTAGTGATTTTTTTGCCTTGTACTCACAAAAAAAGAAATCAGATACCACCACTAGAGGTAGTCCAAGTACCCCCAGTATTATGCGTACCATAGTTTGAGAATCACTGCTGTAAAACAACACCGCTCTTAATAAGACCATTCAGATCCAGATGTTCTTTTGTGTCTTCTATTTTGCAGCAGGCCCAAAGGAGATTCCTCGAACAGCAACACCTGACCAACATCCAAGCCAAGGCCAGCCCAGAGATCGCATTTAGTACCATCGTGGTGCCTGTTGTGGAACAGAAGGAACCAAAACCAATGGTGGCACCAGTAGAGACTGAGGCAGTGGCAGACATCAGCAAAGAAACCCTGGTGGTCTCCGAAGATGCACCAGTGGTAACTGAGGAAACCATGGTGCTAACTGAAGAAGTGCCCGTCGTCACTGAAGTTATCCCAGTTGTCGCAGAAGACAAGACGGTTGTTCCTGAAACACCAGTGGTCACTGAAGAAACACCAGTGGTCGTCGAAGAAACACAAGTCGTCACCGAAGAAACACCAGTGGTCGCCAAAGAAACACCAGTGGTCGCAGAAGAAACACCAGTGGTCGCCAAAGAAACACCAGTGGTCGCAGAAGAAACAATCGTCGAAGAAACACCAGTGGTCTCGCCAAAGAAACACCAGTGGTCGCAGGAGAAACATCAGTGGTCGCAGAAGAAACACCAAAAAGGGCTCCTTTTTTTCAGTTTTTATTGCATTGAAAATATTAGAACCAATTTCTGTAGAATGGTCTGGACCACTGTCATGTTTTTGGAGGCCTAGTCCCAGCTTTGTGTATCATCAGTGCTGGATTTGTGAGTTCATCACTGCAAAAGATTGACTTCTCTTCATTACTCTACCTCTCAAGCAGACGTTAATGTGGTACTTATCCCTAAAGAAGCAACAGTGACCACCGAAGTAACACCAGTGGTCAGTGAAGATGTACCAGTGACAACTCCACAAATACCAGTCGTCACTGAAGCAACAACAGTCGTCACTGAAGCAACACCAGCGGTTGCAGAAGAAATGCCAGTCATTGAGTCTTTACCAGTGGAGCCCTCTGTAGTCCCAGCTGGTGAAGTGCAGGAGTGTGAACCCGTCGTTCCTCATACAGAACCGGTGACAGAGGTAGGAGAATGTTGTGTTATGTTTCAAATTTTCTTTGGTAGAACTTTTCTAGGCAACACCTGCAGCCTCCAAAAAGTTCTGGAATGTTCTGTTTAACGTCAACAGCTTCCTGAATCCTGCAAAAGTTTTTAAAAAAAATCGGCATGGCAGAGAGAGTGTGCATCTGACGACACTGCGGACACGATATTGTGTGTTTGTGACTGTGCGGCGTGGGGGTTCTTTATGAAGGCATAGAGCATTCCGATTGGCCGATTATTGAACAGTTTCATTACATGAGGTCCAGGACAAGTCTGAACTTCTTTGGAGTCATCATTTGTCAAGTGGGAGGAGGGAAGGGTCCTGGTGTTGTTACCTCCTAGAATTGACTCTTTGCAGATTGGGGTGACTGAGGGAGGTGGAGGTGGTGGGAGAGGGGAAGGTGGAGGTGGAGAGGCAGGATCGAGGGCAGGAGAACATTTTGTTCCTTTTTGCTGAGAGCAGGAGAAAAATCAGTGAACAAACGCCCCCCAGATTTTTGGAAAGAAGTGAAATACTGACCATTATCACGGCGTACAGTCTGTTGACTGTATGAGTTTTCAAGAGTTTTTACTTCATTTACCGAAGTGTGTAAGGAATACCTTGTGTTTGTAGTAGAAAAGTACTCGCGGATGTTTGTTTGTATAACTAGCTAATACTAGCACCTCGCTAAATAACTTTCTATAAAGTTATTTTTTTGTAACATTGTCATTAGAGTCAAGTTCTACTTTACAAAGATTTGGTACTAGGGAGTACTAGGGAACAGAATGTCCTTCAGTACTACACATGTACTACTACGTCTATGTTTGCACAGTCAGCAATAATGCAGACACACACACACACAGTCAAAAATGTACTCACATCCCCAGGCTTAGTATGAGAACAAGGTGTGTGTGTGTGTGTGGGGGAGGGGGGAGGTTGAGAGGAACGTTCCATCAAAAATGATAAATTTCTATCTGTAACAGATTTCTGCAACACTCAAAATGTCCAGAGTATAAATTCCATTTTTTGAATTCTTAAGTCCGTCGTTGACCTGACCGATTCTGGACTGTTAACACACTCATCTAAATATGGCCAGCTGGGATGTATATCTATAGGAAACATGTACCGCCTGTACACTCCCCAATGTCCCTCCTTTACTCACCCACTCACTCCTCTTCCCTCTCCCTTTTCTCCTCCTTGTGCATCTAGTGTTTGACTCCTCAGCAGAAATGTTCATTTTCTATTAGCTACAGTTCTATCTCCTTTTTTCCCCCAAACTTTTTTATCAATTTTTCTTTTGGTGATCGTTGCGATCACTCGCAGCCCCAGGGCTCAGGTTAAGACGCCCGGTGTTTCCTCGTAGAGTAGTGTGCACTCATGGGCCTCGTTTTAAGCTGGCTTTGGAGCCAGAAACAGGTGGCACCAGAAGTCGGCTTCACACGGGACCAGGTGAGTATAAATCCAACTTTAGTCCAGAAGAGGCCTCGAGCAACACGCAGTGGGCTGCTGTTGCCACCGCTGCTGAACATTTTGTACCAGCCTGCACTCGGCCTTCCCTACGCCCCTTCCTCACCCTTCTTCCTCCCCTTCTTCACCCCCTCTTCTCTGACCGTATGTCGGCCTGTGGGCTCTTATCCATGTGTCTAAACGCGACGAGAGAGTCCTGATTTGTGGCCTCTTATCAGGAGGAGAACGTTTTTAGCATTAATATATATATATGTTTATATATATATATATATGTTTATATATATATTTATATATGTGTGTGTAAAAATAGCTTTTAGTTAGTTTGGTTTGTGTATTTTTCTTTTGTGCACTGAAATACGTTTCGATTTTTAAAAACGTAAAAAACTTTTTTTTTTCTTACATGCTTCGTTTGCTGAGCTGAGACTTTGACTCGTGTCTTCCGTGTTCACTCACTTTCTCACATTAGAGAAAAAAGAAAAAACTTTCTTTTTTGCTTGATGTGGAACTGTAGCCGTTCCTATAGAACATTGTGTTCTGCTGCCGTAGCCATACACTGGAGGGGGGCG